CTTCTGTGGCAAAAATGCCCTATTTTTCAGCACTAGTACTTGCAATTTGCACATTAAAATAAAAAGTCAGGATAGACAACAGTGACATTGAGTGTCGCCTGGCATAAAAAAACATTAAAAAAAAAAACTTTGTCAATGTATTTTTGCCTGCATCAGAATATTCATAAAAATAATGCCTTGCACTTTTCCTTTGGCTCACCTCTGCCTGCATTAACAATTCTCCCCATAAAGTAAATTGATCTGTCCCTTAGTAAGTACTTCTGCAAGTACCTGTGATGCAATTTTGCTATACATGTAGACCCCCATAATATAATTGGTATGTCCCTACAACTGGGAGTACTTCAGCCTGGACTCGGTGTTATTTTAATGGTTACTTGAAATAGTTATTCTCTCTAAGTTATCACTATTCAAATAAACACTGGTAGTTACCCTGCAGATTTCTCTGGTCTTGCTTTAGGTGATCTACTTGATCTGTCTAGTGTATAAAAAGTGAAATTATCTGACACCTAAAACAAGTTGGGGTCAATTTAATGATAGTTGTGAATGTTATCGCAAAATAAATCTTAATTGATATTCTGTCGTGTTTAATTATGCGGAACTGCTTTGTATTAAGAGGGACTAACTTTACCCCAGAGTGTATGCTCCTTATTGGTGTTCTAATATGTCTTGTATACCTGCAGAATTGCAAACTATACTCAGCATGTTGAATACAGAACTATCTATACCTATTGTAACAAAGAGTTAGTTTTAACCCTTTCACAACCAAACATTCTCGCCCAAATTTTTCTGCACTTTTTTTTTTCTTATATTCTTCAATGTTTCTTAATATTAACCCTAATTTTGAACTAATTTTTAGTTTTTACTCAACAAATTTGGCAATTTTTGTCCCAATGTGCTATAGAAAAGTGCAAAAAAATTTTGAGTAAAAACTGAAAATTGATTCAAATTTTGTCTGTTGGCTCCAAAATTACCATAGGGTTCATTTCCAGAAATATTGAAGGTGATATGCGAGAAAAGTGCAGACAAATTTGGGAGAGAAAGTCTGGTGGTGAAAAGGTTAATTCTGCTTGCAGCATGTCTCGTTGTATACATGTCAATATCAGTCTTTCGTGAACTTGATCAGGGCTGGAGATACGCCCCTCGTAAAGCATGAAAGTGTTAAGTTTTACTGTATGCTTTGAAATTACCCAATCGTAAAGCATGGTATGGTATGGTGCGTCATTTTCAATATGGATTCCATGCAAAACGTAATATTCCTGTAAAATAAGTTGAAATTTCATTGAATTTGGTCTTGAGAATGGGCCTGGGTAGTGTATAATTTATGATCGCCTAAATATAACACAAAGTACAAAAAAAATTGACAAAAACCTGCATCTTATGAATGTTTCTTTTAGTGTCAACTGAAACTCAGCTGCTGGCTTCCTCTTGTTAAAACTGTTTTTATTAAAGGTGTACAGATTTTAAAATGCACCCCTTACGTACAAGAAACTTTCATAATGGACTCAACCAGGTTGTAATACACCTGCAGGATTATTCCATTTTATATGGGTCATAGGGAAGACAGCTTATATTACATTGTGTATTTCCCTTGGTGCATTATAAGTCATTTTTTCGATCGTAATCAGTTTAGATAACAGGTTCATGTTTCTTTGTGATCACATTTATGTGAACTTTCTCAGTCCTGTCAGAGCAACAGATGTGTGATTGTGTTTTATTGCACGTACAGATTTACTTGACAAGGTGTCTATATTAAAATAAACAGTCAACTTCTCTAGATGTCAATACTGCATGTTTTACATAATGAAGACAACAATTAAAAAAAAAAGTAAATTAAAGTATATTAATCCAGCTAAAACTTCATCATATTAATCCAGGTAAAACTTCATCATATTAATCCAGCTAAAACTTCATCATATTAATCCAGCTAAAACTTCATCATATTAATCCAGCTAAAACTTCATCATATTAATCCAGCTAAAACTTCATCATATTAATCCAGCTAAAACTTCATCATATTAATCCAGCTAAAACTTCATCATATTAATCCAGCTAAAACTTCATCATATTAATCCAGCTAAAACTTCATCATATTAATCCAGCTAAAACTTCATCATATTAATCCAGCTAAAACTTCATCATATTAATCCAGCTAAAACTTCATCATATTAATCCAGCTAAAACTTCATCATATTAATCCAGCTAAAACTTCATCATATTAATCCAGCTAAAACTTCATCATATTAATCCAGCTAAAACTTCATCATATTAATCCAGCTAAAACTTCATCATATTAATCCAGCTAAAACTTCATCATATTAATCCAGCTAAAACTTCATCATATTAATCCAGCTAAAACTTCATCATATTAATCCAGCTAAAACTTCATCATATTAATCCAGCTAAACTTTATCATATTAATCCAGGTAAAACTTCATTATTGTTATCTCACATATACATGTAAATAATACCAAATATTTATACAAGAACTTTGAGAAATACTAATTAATGCAAATGTTCGAGTCTGTGGAATACGATGATAATCTTGCTCATTTTTGTTCGTCTATTTCCAAACATCCACTGCAATCTGTGTGGCCATTGGTTGAAATATGTTTGATTAATAATATATGACGAAGTCAATGGATACGAGTACTCGATAAGTTTCTATGCATTTGCTCTCTCATATTAAGACATCTGATTATCGATGGTGAGAACCTACACGACGGTTTTTCAAACTTCTGGCGTGTAACAAATACATTAGCACATTGCGGGAGTCAAACTGCAATTTAACCCTACTTTAATACCAGATTGTTGGCAAATTTTAATCAGTACATGGAGGTCAAAAGTCATTTCTATTAAGGATAGATTATACATCTAGTTAGGAAGGCATGTCCTCAATTGAGGTGAAAGGCCTAGTTTATAGTGCAAGTCACCCGGAAATTACAGCAATATATGTAACTTATCAACAATTCTTTTGCTGATGTTCTTTCCTGAACTTTTCGAAGTCTAGAAACTTGAATAATGGCTGTCCCATTACTTATCGTCTTCTTTCCTTCCAACAAAATAATTGATGGAATTGATGTAAAAATTGTTATATTGATATTAATAATACCGTAGTTGCTTTATTTGAAATGCACATATCGTAAACCAAATAATGTATTTATGAAACACTCCATAAAATATAATTGAATAGATTGACTATAGACATACCCCTAATGTTTAGGTTTTCTACATTTTTATTGAAACCAATATCATGCATAATAAAGTTACTCAAAAAAACTTGAGAGTAAAAGTACAGGAAAAAAAACTAAAGAACAAAAATACAAATTCAAAGTATGTTTAGTGTGTGTATTGGGTTAGGGGGATATTGTGTCGGCTTCTGTGGCAAAGATAAATTGGTCTTTGACCAATCTCTACTGCAGATAATAATATTTCAGTTTAATTTAATTTAATTATGACTTTTGTATGTAGATTCTCTCTGCGGTGGCATGTTAGGATTATTCCAATTATAGAGTTCATCAAAGGTGATGTGGTGACAGATTGGATACGGCTTGTTTAAAAATAGATTGAATAGATAGACCGCTAAAATGACATGTGTTACCCAGACAGTGTATTCCATTCATGCAATCTCTTTCACTCAGGTATGTGTCAAAATTATTCTGTCCCAGTGGTTGTATTTATCTTTGTTGTCTCAAGAGGGGTTCACTGCGTCTTTGAGTTTGTGTTGGTATTTCTTTCTCACTGATTGTCATGTTTATCACATTTAGAGCATACTGATTTATTAATGATGTAATTTCTCGTCAGTGGTATTAATATTTGGTGGGGGTATGTTGATTTATTTTGTACTACCGTACAAGCAAGTTTTCACTGACAGTAGGGTTAGGGAAGATTTTAAATGGGAAGAGGGGGTTGGGAAAAAATCACAGCATGAAACCAAGTTTGGAGCAAAGTATGGACATGGGTAGGACTCACATATGTGTTTTTATGGAATAACACAGTGAAACGTTATTAGTATTACAGTACCAGTATTCTTAATGTAAAATTATGATCCCTTGTCCCTGTTTTTTGTTTTCCGCGTTATACAGAAAATAGAGTGGCCATTAAGATATCCTGTTTTGTTTTGTTTTACGGTAGTTATGAAACAAAATTAATAATCATTTATGATTATGATGGAAAAATAGGATAAATGTTTGGTTGAAAAATTACCAAACTAGAAAGTTTATTCTGTTTATACATGTATCTGAAACAGATGAACACACAGACAGAGTTTATTTATAAAGATTGTGATTCATACTGCATTACATTAACACTATGTCATCAGTTTATTACGTGTGGTGTATAACTGTGCAATCCATTCTCACCATCATAGCATTTTAATTGATTAACCATACTGCAAAGTTCACCATGATTAGTACTTGCAGAGCTATCAATTTGCATATTTTTTTCTACCAGATATTGATACAGATTTGGTTCACTGCATACATGTTTTTGCCAAAAAATGAAAAAAATGTTGGTACAAAAACAATTCTGGCAAGGTTTAAAATATTAAACATGATATTGCATTCACAGAATAAACCAGAAACTGTATACTATCTGAATTATTAAAATACAAATTATTTTGTTAACACTCTTTTATTTAAGAACATGCGCTACTAATAGAGCAAATACGGTACTCCCTGATCAGCGTCTGAACTTTCCCAAATTAGGATAAAATCAAACCTAATCATCTTGTCATCGTATTATGTTATTCACAACTTGGGTTTTCAGTTTTTAATCATATTAATTGTACATGTTTGGTTTATTGTGAAATATTTTAAAATAAATCTACAGAGGATGATGTATTATGTTTTCGAGTTTATTGTATTTTAGCATTATAATAATAATTGAATGTTCTATGATTAAATTACTACCATATTGCACACATATTATATATGGTGTATGAGTGCAAAAATTATGAATGGTGTGTGACAGATGGAAGTTTGCATTGTCATTATAATGCGATTATGAGATATTTGCGATTTAAGAGTGCAGTATCAAATGTTCTTAGTGACAGGTACGTGTGTTTGTACATGTTTTAATGTGAGTAGAAGATGAATTGTATTACGTGTATTCCTAGACTGGTGTGTAACAGAAGTCATGTGTGGTGAGATGGAATTACTGAGGTGTGAGTTGGGGTTAGATAAAAATATGTGATATTTGAAGGAGGGGGGTAAGATGAGATGGTGAAGTGTTATTCAAGAAAAAGACACTCAAAAAAAATGTTCACATACATCTGCCACTCAAACCTAAAACATCAACTCTGTTCTTGTATTTTTTCTGGCTTTGCAAATTACCAACAATTCAATTTTAAATGGGTGGGAAAAGGCAGTTTTTGATGGAAATTGTATCATTTTTGCCCAAATTTGACCCTCAAAACTTTTTTTTTTCTGAAATCTGACCAATGTTTAAGTATATTTTCCCTGGAAAAATGCTGCCCCTCAAAGTTAGAAATAAACTTCTTACTCACTGTCAGTCATGGCTGGCGCAACAGTCTCTCTTCTCTCTCTTAGTGTGTAATGTAAATAAGATTTTTTTGTCTTTTGCAGCTGTGATGATGAAGATAGCAGTTCCCTTAGTAGTGGAATCAGTGATACAATAGCTGAGATGAGTACGGATGAGAATATAACAGGATCATCAGTTAGCTGTTCTTCATCCACACCTAACACTCCGTCAACCGGAAGACGGGCTAAATCTGAACAAGCTATGTCTGATAAATCTGGATCAGGCAGGAATTCCAGGAATTCTGCGGATGGAGGTGAAGATTTCACTGATGGGTTTGAAGATGTTCCAGACGGTGAAGTTTCCGGATACGGGATGAAAAGAAGCAGCTCCAGTTCCGGAAATGTTTGGAGGAAGTATTCTCCGACTGAAGAAAATGCTGATAAAAGCATTGACGGTAAGGTGAAGGATAAGAATGCTAATTTGCCGAATGATAAATGGCGACGAGGCAATTCAGATTTGTCTGACTCAGGGAGAAGTACAAAGTCCGATAAGGATAGTCGTCGAACTACAGGAAAAGATAAAAAGGAATCAAGCTCTCAGAAAACCATGAAAGGAAAGACCGTTGCAAAGAATGATGATAAAAAATCGGGTACGAAACCTCAGCAAAGCGGTAAAAATGCGCAAGAATTAAAGAAGTCGTCAAATTCTCGAAATCAGTATTCTTCAAATTTTGGTTATCGACGACCAGGAGGGCCAACTGCTGGTGGAACTCCGAATGGAAACAAAACTTCATCAAAAGTGCCTAATTTCGGTTTTGGTTTGAAAGGAATTCCTGGTGCCAAATCTAACAAACCGAATACTAATGCTGATAACTCACAGACAGACGACAACATTAGTAATACAAGTAAAACAGTGAACTCTAGTACTCTTCCACGCTCCAGTGGCTCTAAGACGGTAGCCAGTGCTCGAGCACAACAACAAGAGCAACAGCAACAGCAGTTATATCAGCAACACATGTTAAACCAGCAGCAGATACAGCAGCAGCAGTTATTAGCTCAGCATCACCAGGAACAACAGCTACTATCTCAGGGTCTTCATCAAACCACATGTGCCTCTACTCAGCAAATGCAAACAAACGAACAAAATGGATATATTAGTAATAATAATAATGAACATCCGAGCAGTACATCGACAGTTCACTCTAACTCTACAGTAAGAAATAGTTATCCCAGTCATTCTGACGTGGAGATTTCTTCCCCGCCGATGCGTATAAAAGATCTTGGTGTAGCGGCAAAACATGGACTATCATCGCCGTCGTTGAAGCGGTTATTCGGACGTGGGAAAGGTGATTCGAACCGCAGCACGTCTCCCAGTGCATTCAGTGATACCATCATTTCCAATCCTCATGCAACCTTGATTGGGAATATGACTTCTTTAAATCAGCGTAGCAGCAGGAATGTTACGTCAAGCGAAACACAAACGCCTTCGAACATTGGACAGAATCACCTTCATGTACCGGGACAGCATGGTCATTCGTCATCTAATGCTGAACTCAACTTTCCGTCAATTATGTATAACAATAACATAAACTACCAGACATATCCAAAAGATCCGTACCGCAATCACACTTCCAGCATGGCATCCATATATTCCTGTCCCGGAGCATGGATGAATCTTGGTCCGTACGGTAGCGGCCTCGGCAACAGTATCTCGGAAAGTGGGAGTATTGACTCCATGGATTCGGGATCTAGTCAGTTATCGTTAAATAGTAGAGCAACAAGTGAACGTTATGGAATATCCACGCCAAAAAGTCCTGGATCACCGCTCATACGAAGCAATAGTATTCGTTCAACAACATCAGAAAAATTGTATCCCACATCTTTGTCGCTCAAAGAATTTGATGATGATTGGTTTAGATCAATCAGTTATGGTAATTTGACTCCATCCAATGGTATGCCGTTATCACCGACACATTCAGTTTGTTCACAGCCGGCAACCCGATTCAATTATCCAGTCAGTCCAACAGGGTAAGTCTATATTTTAATTTTTTTCGTATTTATTAGAACTGATGTTTTGCTGAACAATGCATTAGTTTCCTGAACTATTAATATTTGGGAAAATGCCTGATTATATTATGAAAACATATCATAAATAGAGTCTAGGATAAAAGTTAAATGGCTGAGTAAAGCTGCAATAGCTATAAAGGGCAGTAGTCGCCGCACCATGCATGTGCAACATTCGTGTTGATAAACATTAATTTTCCCACACTTCAATGTACTTTTCTAGTTAAATCACAAGTACGAGTTTTGCCCTGGGCGCCACTTGCACTATTTACGGCTTATACCTTCCAAACGCCAAAAAATTATCTAATTCAAGTTCGGTAACCTCTCAGTTTGTACTTGTTGGTGTGCGCGGCACGGCGCGACGACTACCGCCTTTTAACTATAGATTATTTTTCTCCACTTTCTATTTTTAATTTCCTGTGTCATTAGTGTTTATTTGTGTTGGTCATTGCCAACATTGACATTGAAAGCATAGTACCGGTATTATTGAATAGTAGATTGAAAACAAAAGTATTCCATAGTATGAACTACAGAGGGAGCTATTCAAGTTAGAATGTTTGTATTCAACATACTTTTCAACCACCAATTTTGGTGACCCTTCATGACCTTAATATAAGTTCAGTTAATAGTTTAAGTGCAGCCACCCACTTTATAAACATCAAGTCAATTATTTTAGCAGAATAGTATTATTTTTCACATTGCTTTAGGCAATTTCTCATGGTGTGGCTTTCAACTTATCCACTAAACTTGAACTTACAGATTTAGAAGGTACAGTGTGCAAAAATCATGGATGTTTTACTGTAACATCTGCAATAGGAATAGGAATAGCTAAAATACAAAGTTACCATGGCAACCACATTTTGTATTTTTATTTTTTAAATTCCAGGAATTCCGGTATGGTCAGGTCTAACAGCATGAGTGGACCTGCCTATGGTACTGGGATTGTGCCGGGCATGAGAAATAGTTCTATGTCACTTGATGAGAGAGCACGAGCCTGTCTCCGTGGTTACAAAGACGAACTGGAGGAAGTACATAGTTCTTCACTGTCACTGGTGTCTACTACCTCCTCTCTGTATTCATCAGTAAGTATGGTGCATAGCACCCTCTGGTGGCATAATGTATCAATTACATATACCGGTACCATATTTTCTTTATTAACAGTGCATCTTCAATAGATACTTCTGTCATTTAAGTTAGTGCATGCAGCACTAATAGAGCAAATATCGTAAAACATTTTCCTATAAACCAAGTTTAGTTACTATCAATACTATCAATCATATTTTTAACAATAAAAGTCGTGTTTATTTTTGCCAACACAAACTTATTTTATAACCAATTCTGTATGAAAAACTTGGTAATTTACATTTACACCTCATGAGGGCAGTGTACTCACCTTCAAAATTGTAACTCCACTCTTGAAATCTTCTGCATTCTACAGTTTTATTACATCATTCAATCTTTCAACCTTAATAGATTTAAATTATTCAAAGTACATATTCATATTCAATCAAATCAATCAAGCGTAATAGTTATTGATCTTACTGAATGATATCTCCAACAGGCGGAGGAGAAGGCTGCACATGAAATCCGAAGATTGCGAAAAGATCTTGATGAGTCTAAAGATAAAGTATCGACATTGTCTACGCAACTCGCTACAAATGTAAGTTTACTCACCTATGTGTTGTTACCATGGAAACCAATTTAAAAGGAAAGCAGTATACACTTAGAGATTTGGATAATAATGATTAAATATTGAAATTATTTAATCATTTTTTTTTGATGATTTTTCAGAAGAAAAATTTTCAAAAATTGTATGATCTCATTTGTGTTCAACATGTTACCATGCTGATTTTACATCAGTATTGCCATGGATACCAGCTTCCAGTAAAACATGTGCTTGAATAGATTAGTGTTTTTCATGTAAACACTGAGGGCAGTATTCGCTCCAACCATTTCAACACCAGAGGGCAGTATTTACTTCAACTAACCAACACCCGAGGGCAGTGTTTTTTTTGCACCACATTTTGTCCTTGATTATACAGGTAAGTGTCTGTGTGAGTTTCTGTTGGAATCCGCCAACATGTTTTAAAACCAACTTTTGATGAAATCCTAACACCGTAGTTCAGACCACATTATGGCAACCAAATTGTGGCTAAAATAATTACCGTACCCCTATTTCCTGGTATTTCTACAAAACTCAAATATTCAATTTGTGATTCTATTCATAGTGGAGATTTTTGCAATTCAGCTGAATTGATCTTTCCAATCAATCAATATTCTCATAATTATCATATGACATTGTTTAATTTCAACCAATCACAACAATGAATGCATAATTATATGCAAATGTTTATTTTCAACCAATCACCATCCTCTGTGTGGAGATATACTGAATATTCAAGCCCTAAGTTATTCATTCTATTCGAAAATACCTTAATCATATGCATAATAAAAAAAATTCCACAAACAACCAATTATTTTCTGAATGAACAACTGTACCAGGTGGCTCAATCAATCTTCCTCATAATCCTGCAGCATAATATTGATAAATTGGGTTTCTGTTTTCAAATCTTCATTTTAAATTCTATACTAATAAATCTGTGGGTTAAAGCTCCTCTGTAGACAAGACCTCAAATACTTATCAGTAATTTACATATAAAACTCATCGCTACAGTTACGAGATTTCCCTTGTTGATGATAACTATGCTAAGTACCGATTTTCTTCGTTAGTTCTGAACTAAGAATGAAGAGATTGAATTCTGGAGTGTTTACATTAGCCAGTGTGTCTCCATATTTAGCCTTACTCGTAATGAATTTATTACTACATTAAATTTAATACTCAAATTTTGTATTGTAAATAAAAATAGCTTGTGGTTGACAAATCACATACATTATGCAGGAGGCTGTCTTACGCTATAGACATCAATGCTTTTTACACTGTTTGTTAAATTTATAATTCTCATTGATCTCTATGACCTCAATAATTATGATCATATCTCATTTAAGACTGTCTGATGAGTCCCTAAGGTTTATTATAAATTTCCAGATGTTCCTGTGTGTGTGTGTTGGGGGAAGGGGACTTTGTTAATTAGACAATTAGGACTAACGAGATTGGGGCTTAATATAATATGGACACACTGGATTTGGACATTTAGTGACCTCATTAATTATGCACATATATAATCAGCTTTGACCTCCTAATTAGCTGTGATCTCACTGATAATGTGCATATCATTGAATGTCAGAACTAGAGGTTCAATTCCTACCTTAATAAGATGGGCACACTTGATTTCGGCATTTAGTGACCTCATTAATTATGCACATATATAATCAGTTGTGCATCATAACTTATGTACATATCTAATTGGCTGTGATCTCACTGATTATGTGCATATCATTGAATGTCAGAACTAGAGATTCAATTCCTACATTAATAAGACAGACACACTTGATTTCGGCATTTAGTGACCTCATTAATTATGCACATATATAATCAGTTGTGCATCATAACTTATGTACATACATGTATCTAATTGGCTGTGATCTCACTGATTATGTGCATATCATTGAATGTCAAAACTAGAGTTTCACTTCATACATTAATAATATTTACACACTAGATTTGGGCATTTAGTGACCTCATTATGTACATATATAATCAGTTGTGATCTCATAACGTATGTGCATATCTAATTAGGTGTGACATCACTGATTATGTACATATCATTGAATGTCAGAACTAGATGCTCAATTCATACATTGATAAGAGGGACACACTTGATTTGGAAATTTAGTGACCTCATTAATTATGTACATATATAATCAGTCATGACCTCATTACTTATGTGCATATATAATTAGCAGCGACCTCATTACTTATGTGCATATATAATTAGCAGCGACCTCATTGATTATGTGCATATCTTGTATGTCAGGTCTAGAGGTTCAATTCCTATGGGACTTGAACCCATTAGCAGGAATTCTTCATTGTATATTCAATTCAAGAATGAACACAAAAACATTTCACTAATCTTTGATTTACACCAAGAATTAGAATAATGACACCAAGTCAATATACCAAATATTGTCAACTTTTGCCTTTGTAGTATTTCTTATTTTCTGTCGAAACAATGAACATCATAATTATAAATATTTTAATAATCTGAAAAATAGAAATACATTAATAGGGAAAAAAAACAAATAAAAGTTGAAGGATAAATATAAATGAATAATAATTATAAAATATACAGTAATATTAATAATATTAATAAAATTGTAATAGGAAGGATATTACCAGGATACATTAAATACTTGGATAATTTATGGAAATAACGCAGGTATTTGAGATGAATGGATGTGAATCACTTGTGACAAGGGGACAAGGGCATACAAATTTCATAATTACTGTTAGTATGTAATAATTCATCAGGCATTCTGGGAGAGTAACTGTAAATGACTCCACAGGGAGGTAAATATGCATGATATGTAGGAATTCACAACTTAATAGCCCAGCTGATTACTATACATTCTATAATTACATACCAACGTATTAACAAATTGAAATAGTTATTTTGCCCGTGGTGGTGCACAGTTTCAGCGTGTATTACTAGGTGACCTTTTACTTTCTATGATCATCTTATGCAGTCATTTTTTGTTAGTGTATATAACATTGCTTGCATTAGTACCTTCAGTTTTTAATTTTTTCTGCTCATCATGTATATATTCAAAATTTTTATTGAATTTGAAGTTAATTTGACATGCGCATCATTATGTTTTACGATTTTAATCATAATCAGCATCTCTGAAAACAAACAGTACCATGTATTAATACTGATCATCTCTTTTGTGTAGTGCAGCATGTATATCTGCGTTCAACCAAATGTTGTTTGATGTAAAAGTTAACAAATTAACAATTTGGATTTTATTTTGAAATCCTGCAAAGCTCTTCTTTAAATCCATGTTTAATGTTCAATTATTTATTTATGTTAAAAATGTACTACAAATATTTTTGGTGGTTTACAATTTCGAAATTAATTTGTTATCTAACTTTCTCAGCTCAACTTTCTGTAGTAAAGGCCAAGACAACTGAATTCTTCACAGTTTCAAAATATTTTTCATATTTTGCTTCATTATGAGTCATTCAGCATCTTTACACTGAATCAGTACGGACTGTCCTCCCATCTTTGTGATAGAGCATAATTTGCTTTCTTGGATTATTATAAGTGCAGTTCTGGCTTAGTATGACTGATGATAAAAACACAGTAATCATCGTACATCACTGCTGTATGCTACTCACGTATGTAATTAACCAACATATTTCAAAAATTGATTATTCCAATAATTAGTTTGATGAAATTTGCTGTATAATCATTACCGTGCAAAGTACTTCAGCTTTTCTAAAATTCCATAGTGTATCACATTGTATCTTCAAGGATTGATCACATGTCCCAGACTAGCAGATTTTAGCTGGGATAATTAGAGTTTTCACAACGTCACTAGTCGAATTGCCTTGACATATCTCTTGCTGTTGCCATTTTTTTTTTCAATTTATTTTTGTGTGGAAGATTTCTTCAGATGACGTGTTAACAGTTTCCAAAACCTACCCATGTATTGTAAATGTGATATTACACGTATATACCTATTATTTATTTTTATTTTCATTAGAAATTTTAAAAACTTTTGATCCATGAAAATTAATGTTCTTAGGATACTAGTCGGCATCATCACTTTTTAGTCATTTTTCTTTTTTATTGAATCGCTTTTTTATGAACTTTACCACCCAAAAATATTTGCTTAGACCAATCTCTTGGCATCTTTGGCGTTGTCATGGTTTGCCCATAATACCTAATATCCCTGCCACCTAAAGTTTATAAATTTTAATTTTGAAAATTCCCTTTAAGATGAAGACTGACATCTTACCTGTTTCCTAGCAACCATTATCATTTCACCATGTATTAATCTTTTTTCACTAACGTGTTCATAACTTTTATTGCGCAGTAAATGTTTTTAGGGGCAATACATGTCTATAAAATGTAATTTTTTCACCAAATTTTAATGCTTTTTTGTAGTAAAGTCATATATTTATTTTGCCGTGTTTATGATTTTATATTTATAGATTCCAGATGATTGGAAGTTTTTATTGCAAGTAGTTTGTCAGAATCTTGCCTTTTATTTTATCGCAGTCTATATTATATGCCAACCCCATACGCATAGTTCAGCATTATGTCATCAAATTTGCCCTTAGAATAAACTGCCGCTTTTTAAGAGATTATTTATGTCGTCTGGTGCATGTTAGACATGTAATCAGCAATTCTATAATGTTCTCCAGTTTAAAAAGTGAGATGTGATATAAACTACTAAATATGTATCATATAAAATAAGTACAAGGTATCATGAGTTAAAGTTACTTAGCTATCATTAAATTGAATACTTTTAATTGTTGATGAAAAAAAATGGTTCAACAAGAATTCCTATGATAATAGTTCCACACTATTTCTTACTGTTTTACTGACAACATATTTTGTATAGGATAAAAATCCAAAAAGTTTAAATTTAAATTCAAAGCAACATTTATATAACACTTTTGAAACAAAGGAACACTAATTTATTAATTTGTTCCCTCAAATGTAGTTAGGTTGTATTTCTGCAAAGATATAAATG